TGCAATCGTTATCAAAACTAACCTAACAAATAACTCAAATGAATAGACTAAACGTAAACACAAAACTGTAGCATAACATTCAATAGTGAATTGATTGTTCTTAACACAAAATTGAATATAAATAGAAATAATCAATACACAATTCGCTTTCCGTGAATTACGCAATATTACGTTAAAATACGTAATGTACAATAGGTCGTGGTATTGACTAAGGTTATTGAATTGCACAAAATGCCGACTGCCTGCATGATAGTGTCCTCTATTAAGGTGCTTGTTAAATTATAAGCGAAGATATGAATTTCAGGTGATATGATTTTTTTGAAGTTATACTTCTTTAGGCGCGTTATGAAAAATTGATGAGAGTGAAATTTTACGATGCGCACGCACCGTGACACAAAATTAACAGAATGAAGTTGCTTACTAAATCGCTCATTACAATACGACCGACGTAACTTGGCGAGTCTGAATATAGCCGCAGGTGAACTTTCGCGCACGTACACTCGTAAAAACAAGTGTTATTAGCATTAATTTTTTAGTAATATAAATGACAAAATTATTATTTTATATAATTCATACTAAATATAATTAAATTATTAACGTTACATATTTATTCTAATTATTTAATAGTTAAAAAAACAAAAATAAAGTATAACTTCTTACGCGCGTACATAAGTACACGTACCCTTTTTTTAGTATCAAGTACTACCATTATTCCTTCTCGTCTTCTAAATGCACTAGACTAGCTATACTAAAGGATGCCAAAAAATTGGACATATCACATCCAATTTGTTGATTAAAAAATTGGACATAAAATATTGTCCAATTTGTTGATAAAAAATTAGACATATTGTGGAATTTGATGATAAAAAATTGGACATATTGTCCAATTAGTTTAAAAAAAAAATTTGACAGATTGTCCTCGCAAAATTGTTTTGTTATTTGATTTGATTTATATTCCCCGATTCTTCTATTTTGTTTCTGGAAAAAAATATCTTAAGTCTTCAATAATTTGCTTATGTTCTTGTCAAACAAATTCCTCACTGGAACTGACGATTATTGAATTTGGAATCGTTGTCATGCATTTGTATGCACTGAGAAATCATTTACCTGTTTTCCTCGAGTACATACATAGCTTTGTCTGAAACAATAGTTTTATCTACGTGCGGCGTGCGCCAAAACCGCAGGCCGCGTGGATCTAATTAAATTGCGGTTGAATTTTTAATGATATATTTAGTAGCTATGTTTAGTAATATTTATAAACTTTACGATAGACAATTTAATGATAATCCTTCGCGGCTATGTTCGTTATGAATATATTTAGCTCGGTCTGTCCTAAATGTAACGGGCTCACACCACGATTTAAATTTTAAGTGAGAACGACATTTCAGCGCTGTTGTGTGTGGTGGTGCTGGTGTGTGTGCCAGAAAGTGCCACGAGCACGGGTAGACTGAAGATTACGGATATAACCGAAGAACGAACTAGAAAGACCGTCTGAAAGAAAGTTAGCAGCAGACTTGTTTACTGCTAACATCATACCCGTCGCCTAGCCAGAGCCCGATAAACAAAAGTACTATTTACAATTTTTAATTCAAACCAATATTGCGATATGGTTCCTGATGATTCTGACATCGATTCGCATTTAGGAATTTGATTTTTTATTCTAATTGATATTCTATTCGTTTGGATATTTAATATCGTATTAATATATATCCTATTTTAGGATTTTTAGGGCTAGATCATTTGTGTTTTTTTATTTTTTTATTGCTTAGATGTCTGGACGAGCTCACAACCCACCTGTTGTTAAGTGGTTACTAGAGCCCATAGACATCTACAACGTAAATGCCGCCACTCACCTTGAGATATAAGTTCTAAGGTCTCAGTATAGTTAGGACGGCTGCCCCGCCCTTTAAACCGAAACGCATTACTGCTTCACGACAGAAATAGGCAGGACTGTGGTACCTACCCGTGCGGACTCACAAGAGGTCCTACCACCAGAAAAGTGTGTAGTCGAGAACGTTGCGCGCCAAACTAAATTCTGTATTTCTTGAAAAACGAATTCAACAATGTAATAAGCCTTAAACTGCAAAGATATGCGTTCATGAATAGAGCTTAAGGCATCATTTTTGCATTTACTATCCAGTTCTGGAATGAATTATCCTTCACGGTTTCCACTCAGCATTATGGCTAGTCCTTCTACTAACGCTTCAAAAGGTAACGGGTAGGTTTAATCTTTAGTGTTAGGCGACAGCTTGGTTGTTGCCCCTCGTATTGATGGACTCTCCGTTTGGACCGGTACCAACCCCTTGCGGACACAGTTAGGCTTTATCTCGCCTTGCCTTTAAAGCAGTGCATAAATAAAAGTGCGAAGTAAAATAGCAAGAAATAGTAGAAGACTTCTAAACGTAGCAATACCTTATGTTGTCTTTGCAGTAGCTTTTTTCGGTGGTTGAATAAAAATCCAATAAATAAAGTATAAAATGGTGATTTCACAGCAGCGTGTATCACCATAATATAATAGAATTAGGGAAATTATAACAATTGCATAAGGATGGCCTTCGAATTTCGTGGAGACAAATAATTTAGCCGCTACAAAGATTCTGGTCTTATTAAGTTACTTACCGGCTGAATGTAGTTTCAAAATATAAATAAAAAGGTTTTTAAATATTTGATTGTAACTAAATCACTAGTTAAATAATTGAAAACAATTTGTGGAAATGTGGTAGAATAATTCTGTACTCATAAATTGTAGCTTAACATAATTACTATTACGGTTTAATTTGCTTTTTTTTTATTCTTTCCGTCATATTTCGAATGTTATGTATGTAATAGTCTGTGGTCCCAAAAACTATAAAAATAGCTTATCAGACTCATTCTGGTTAGTGTGTCTTGTCTATTAGTATTGCCTTACCTATGATTAGCATAGCGCATCGCTTACAGAACAGCAGTAGCACGAAGAAAATACCTACAGCAGACGGCACGCGGGTGAAAATACGTTGAGGTAAGCGTGTCAATCACCAATGAGTTGAAAATGTAGGGAAATCCGTAGGATTGGTTTTACCGGACGATTTGCAGATCGAATTCTTGTTCAATTACGTAAAAATCATTGTTAATTACTATGGGTATTTTGCTGTTTTCGATTTTTTTGTTTTAGATACTTTTTTTTACTTGCAAAGGCAGACGAGCGTGGTGGCGCTAGTGATGGAGATCTCAGTATTTTTTTTATTTAAATTTTAAATGTTTGGGGATTAACGACATAGGGAAGACACCGCGGGTGTTATTGCTCAGTAGACCGATAGTCCGAATGTTGTTGTTCGGAGTTTGTATTTAAGTAAGCTTATCCTGCAAAGAGATAAAGGCCCCTGCAGGCTCCACGCGGAAGAGAAAATGCTACGAGCGAGATTTATGGCAGGATTTGAGGGAGGCTTATGCGAAAGCAAAACAATGTTTGCCGATGTCAAACAACGGCGGATCCAGGGGGGGGTCATGGGGTCATGACCCCCCCCCTGAGCTGGTTCCAGGACTTAGGTGAACCACTAATTGAACATAATGATTTTATTTATATATTTTGCCACTATACAGATTTTATGTAACTACATACCTTCAATATTTAATTAATTTAATATAATATAATAACTTTGTATGATGGCAAGCGTTTGGGAACGAGCGCATCGAAAATTTGACTATGTGACCCCCTCCTGGCGCCAAAGCTGGATCCGCCCTTGATGTCAAATCTTTAGAAAAATTACATTAATAGTATGTACCTAAATATGAATTAAGGTTGCTAATAAACGCTTCTTTATCTTTATCCTGCAAATGTCGTAAGTGAGATTCAGGCATCTGTCAAATATCATGTGTTGTATGATAGCCACAAGTGTTTTTAGTTATTACCCTTGAACAACGTTGTATGCTCACCTAATGGCGAGTGGTTGCCATCACTCATGGACGTCAGCAATACTAGGGGCAGAGACAAGCTGCCTGTCGCTAAAAATGCGTTATCGCTTTATTCCGCCGAAAATGTGGCCGTGAGCTGATATATCGAACAAATGCTTTACATTTCCACTAAAACTCATCAACACTAACATTCAAAATAAACAGTAACCCTGCACTCTTTCGCACATTGTCATGTATTTAAATTGTTTTCGTAATAAATATGAACTCTATGTCGAGTATGTGCAGACGAGCTTAAAACCTACCTAATGTTAAGTGGTCACCGGATGCCCCAGACTTCACAATATGGATACCTTACTCGAACTCACAAGCTGCGTAAGAAATGTCCAGTATTTCAAAGCATACATACAAGTGCCTCGCGTCAACGCTTTAAAGCTAAATGTTTACACCAGTAAACTTGGTGAACGAGCTATAATTCACCTTAGATTATAATTAGCTTGCTCTGCCATCTAGCGTCTAATGGAAGAACTACAGTTTTTAATATTGCTGACTAGATGTCACTTTAGTAGCAAATTCACTGTGTACTTTTAAATTTATAAGATCCTCATCTAACCCTTTCGTTTGTTTTTATTGTTTCCAGTTACCTACTTTAAGTATAGGTTATATAAATAGAGCCAGTGAATTAAAACCAAACTAATTTCAATATTTTTAAAAGGCTATTGCTAAGGAAAATGATTAAGTTTCATACTTTTTTTATTCGTCCAGAGATGGCACTAAATGCTATTTTAAATATTTAGCTATAATGTTTTGAATTATCTCTATATATAAAAATGAATTGCTGTTCGTTAGTCTCGCTAAAACTCGAGAACGGCTGGACCGATTTGGCTAATTTTGGTCTTGAATTGAAGTCCAGGGAAAGGTTAAAAGGTGAGAAAATATAAAAAAGCTCGGAATTATATAAAAACAAACAATTTTGTTTTTCCTTTGATGTGTCCCCTTGACGTGTCTTTTATTTATCGATTGAGGCACTACGAAGTCTGCCGGTTCAGCTAGTCACTTAATACAACATGGATCTTAATCAAAATGAAACACTGAATTTGTTGTTATTGAGAGATTTATTGATGTTTATAAGTGAAAATCTCGTAGTCTAACACGGTAAAGTTGTACTCTGACGCGAGCGAGGCGGGCGCGATTGGGTCCCCGTACGAGTGAAGGTTGCTGTAACTGTCACAGTTCGTGTTGCAGTTGCTCGAGATGAACAGATCCGCGCCGGCGCCGAAAATAGGACCGCAGCTGTGAGATACATAATAGTTAGTTTTTTTTTACCTACCTGAGGACGTTGCTAATATTAGCTTTAGCAAGAGCAGTGCTTCGCAGAATCTACCACCAGATCGGAAACACGAAGATCCAGCGAGAAACTCAGTGGGCTGTGTCTGTGGGTTAATTTACTCGTCGAGCCCTTAGTCGCAAGCGACGGAAATAATTAGTGAGCAATTAGTGACAAATCAGACATATTATAATTAAAATGATATTCAAATACATATATAGAGTTCGAAGAAGCAAAAAATATTTAAAACGACAAATCAAAAGTGTAACCAGAAAACGTCAGAAAACCGTAAAAATAGTCAGGTTTTCGTGTTTCTAACTCTCCTGGTACGTAAATATTAAATTCAAACACTATGAATCGATAATCGATTTTTTACAATAAAATATTTTTTCTTACACTATTCTTAATTCAAATTTCTTAATATTCATTTTCTATTTTTTAGTTGGATTTTCTATAAAAAGCTAAAAAAAATTTTAAATTTTTTTTAATTGTTCAATTGTCATCGGTTCAAATTTCGAGTTAATCCGACATTTTGAAGGGGGTCAAAATCATGTTCAAAAATTCTTCTGTTTCTTGCTAGATCTCCTCAATGGGTCGCGTTTCCGATCCGGCGGCAGATTCTGCGAAGCACTGCTCTTGCTAGGGTTCGTGTTAGCACCGTCGTCAGGTTCGAGCCCCGTGAGCTCACCTACTAGTTAAGGTTACGCTGAAATAGTCTCTCAAGGCACTCAGGTAAGTAGGAAAAAAAAAAAGCGTATTAAAAAAAACTCACTCGGGATGGTAGCAGAGCGCGAAGGGCTTCTTGAGCAGCGGGTGCCGCGCGGGGGGCTCCGACAGCGCGAACAGGAAGGCGCGCTCCGCCGACACGTAGCCCCCCGCGCCGCCCGGCCCCCACCCCGCGCTGCTGTACCCCCCCACCACCTCGCCGCGGGACAACTGCACACACACACAACGCTCATTGAAGTACTCGCAATAGGACTATTAGAAATACTACTACTGGTGATAGGACCTATTGTGAGTCCGCACGAGTAGGTACACTACCCTGCCTATTTCCGCCGTGAGGCGTAATACGCTTCGGTTTGAAGGGTGGGGCTGCCAGTGGGTGTATATTAAGACCTTAGAACTCGTATCTCAAGGTGGATAGCGGCATTTACGTTGTAGATGTCTATGGACTCCAGTAATCACTTAACACCAGGTGGGCTGCGAGGTCATCCACCCATCTAAGCAATAAAAAAAACCTGTATGGAGTCAATTGGAAGTAGCTGGTTTTTGGGAGCCCCGGCCCAGAGATGGCAGCAGTGCTCCACACGAAGCGCAACTATTATACCAATTGTAATTACACTTACCTGCACTAAAAGTAAGACGGGCGATATTCCATCGCAGTGCGAGTGGAAGGCCTGCGCGGAGTATCCGTGTGTCGAGGCGCGGAACACAAGCCGCCACGACTGCTTTGGAGTCCCACACCTTGAAGTAACATTGGATTAACATGCTTTAAATACTTAACTAAAACGATTTTTACGTTTTAAAATGGCCTTTATTAAAGTATTCGTATTAGTAAACGTCGGGAATAATAAAATGAAATAAATTAACAATAAACGTAAAAGTATTATCATACGCACGGAGGATTGTAAACATAATTTCTAAGCTTATCTATAATGTCTTGCTTAACTTAAATAAAGTTTCTTTTTTTTTGCAAATCACTTCCTTTGTTTTTCCTCTTTGCATTAAGCTGTTAATAATTTATTTTATTCCGGAGTATCATTTCAACAGTTTTTATTATGAAGTGAAACTTTTTTAGGCGCATGAGGGTAAATTTTTTACAGATGTAACGTCCGCAGGTATGCAACGGAAGTGTAAAAAAAATTAAATTTATATTTTATATTAGTTTTCAACACTTTTAATATTTTAATGACAATTAAATTCCTAACATATCTTCCTTTTTCCCTTCCTCTAAGTCTCGGAAATCTAAGTTTTAGATTTGTATAAATATAAGCAAGACTTTTAAATTAGTTCGCCAAAGAAGTTTCACTTCTGACATGTGTACTTTGTACGCACGCACTTTTTTATTTTATAGCATATATTTTAAATTGTACTATTAAAGTTCCATTTTGATTTATTTCTACGCAACTGAGTGATTTACTGACTGTTACTGTAATTATCTCAGCTTACAAATTTGTTAATTTCAAATAACGTTTCGAAATAATATAATAATAGGGCTTTACCGATGAAGTTGCCGTAAATTATGTAGGGCTGTCAATAAATTCTAAATTAAAATAAATTTTACTTAAAAAATTCTGGGATTCTATTTCGAAATTCAATCATTTGTTTATAGATTAGTGTTTTATTTTTACTACATTTGTATGTTTTTCATCAGTATAAACACGATAAAAATACTAGTAATTACTGAAAGCCAGTACCTTCGCTGTAGCGATCTCACACAAACTGTTCACAACATTAATGACTTTAATTAAAACACATTAATTTACCAGTTGTTAATGACGGATTGAAAAGCGCTTTTATCCTGATGAAGGATCGCCGAGCCCGCAAACATGTTCACAGCCAATCTGAACCACGAAAATATATTTAGTCACACTGCGAAAGTTCGATGAAAAGATTAGTACATTAAGATAATACATGTCACGCTTGAAAGGCAAACATGACTAAGCGACAATAACTGCTTTGTACATAAGGCAATAACTATATTCGATGCGCAAAAAAAATATATTTCTAGGTCTAATAAAATCATTTCAATCCTACAGCTAGATTCGTTAAAATATAATTTTTGTCATGTATTTCAACTTTAAATTAGTCTACTGTAAAGTTCACGCATTGTCGCTTAGTCACGTTTGCCTTTCAATGTGAATGTATCGAATGTGAGTATGTAGAACAGTGCTTTCTCGTCCTTGATCGTGTTTTGTGTATCCTCATTTGATTCAGCGTGCTTAGTGCGAATTAACATTCTCGATAGCGTAAAAGTTAACTCAAATTTGTATTGAGTTGAAACGTTTGCGAACGTTTGCCGCTAGGGGCGCTGTGCCAACTGCATACAAATTTGAGTTAACTTTAACGCTATCGAGAACGTTAAGCAACTTGCACTAAGTACACTGGTTGCTTTGTGTGTACTTAATGTTTAGCTTCATACTTGTCAGAGGGCGTTTTGTGAGCGAGGCGTCGGTGGCAGCGTTAATATTATAATGCCTATGGGCTTTTTTTTATTGATTCGATGGGTGGATGAGCTTACAGCCCAACTGGTGTTAAGTGGTTACTGGAGCCCATAGACATCTACAACTGAGATATAAGTTCTAAGGTCTCAGTATAGTTACAACGGCTACCCCACCCTTCAAACCGAAACGCATTACTGCTTCACGGCAGAAATAGGCGGGGTGGTGGTACCTACCCGCGCGGACTCACAAGAGATCCTACCACCAGTAAATCACTTGCAATCGCTTGATGCTGGTTGGTGGGTAAGTAAAGGACCTGGGTTGCGTGTTGTGGTCGGGCTGGGCGTGCAGCGCGGCGCGCCGGTACCGCTCCAGAGAGACCTCCATGGGCACTGCGCCCGTCGGCTCCACCTCCTCAGCGAACACTGAACTCTCTGAACACAACACGACATCTTAAAACGTGTCGCCAAATAAAAATAAAAACACGAAACATTCCACACCACGTTCACGTTAGTGGTGAATGTTGAGAGCAAAGTATTTTTATATTTTGCTCAAACTGCTAAGTAGAGATGAAACGGATAGTGGTTTGGTCGGATACCGGATACCGAATATTCGGCAAGCTGCGAGGCCGGAGCGGCCCTTTCGGAAATATTCGTGCGCGTTCGGGTGTTGTCGCACGTGAGCGGACATCGCGACGACTCGGTACGACGACGATTTAGTACTCATTCACCACAATTTGCCACTTGTTAATTTTGAGTATTAAACAAACTAATTAATAAAACAATCGGCCACTTTTGACGTGCGATTATAAAAATAAAAATTAAATTTGTCCATAACCTATTGTGGCATTGTTTGCCTTTTGTATAACCATGAGATTTTCTTAAAGTTTACTATCCGAAATCCGAACGGATAGTGAAAGCATGGCCGGATAGGCCGGATACCGGATAGTTACCGGATATCCGTTTCATCTCTACTGGTAAGTCATATTACATCACTGAGGTAAGTAAGTTTTTGTGAGTTTCCATTTGAACCATTCAAGTACAAGGCTGCAATTCAATATCAAAAGAACTGGTGCTATCGGGAAGGTTCGGGAAGTGTAACGCCATCTATTGTTAAATAGCAAAAACGTTTATTGAAACGACTAGTACTATCGAAATTATACTCGAAAATTGTAGACTTGTCGTGTCGACTATAAAGCGTGGCAGAGACGAAATGAAGGAGTAAATGATCAGTTTTACTGGAAGCGAATCAGCGAATGGATCACCTGAAGCGCAGCAGAAGTAGTGAATTGAGAATTGTGCAGTGTAGTAAGTGTAAGTGTGGCAATAATTAAATTGAGTTTTCATTTATACTTCTGTGAATGATTTATTTATACCTCAGTGCGTAACAATAGTATAGTATTTAATATATTCTCGAAAAACAATCATAGGTTATGTATGTGGCGGCATCTGTTGGCAATTAGAAGAAAGTTGTCCAAAGTCTGAGTTTAACGTGCGATTGCATGTGTTCGCTCTGCATTACCTATGAGCAACAGTCTTATGTGTTGCATGAGGGGCGCGAGGTGGTGGCAGACGCGCGCCCTCTCCTCCTCCGTCCAGTGCGCCGTGGGTTGGGTCACGCCGGCGCGCTGCTTGGCCCAAGCGAGAGCACAACGCCACACTTCTTCCTCTTCAAGACACAACTGGAAAGCGAACGATTTATTGTTAATAATCTACGCCCACTGATCGAAACTCAACCAGTGTGCTTAGTGCGAGTTTTTTAACGTTCTGGATAGCGTATAAGTTAACTAAAATTTTTGTGCAGTTGGTACAGCGCCCCTAGCGGCAAACCTAGGCAAACGTTGCAATTCCATACAAATTTGAGTTAACTTTTACGCTATCGAGAACGTTAAAAAACTCGCACTAAGCACACAAAATCAATCAAATACATAAAGTTTTGGTTTCATTTCATGTAACACAATTAAGTTATTAGTTTCTTTTTTCTTGATTATACGCGAACAAAGAAAAATGTTTCTAATTATAATTTCTTGATATCATTGACTATTAAACAAAAATACTACCGAACAAATATAAAGGGGTTATATAGAAGGCGCAAAAGGTACACAGACTTGTCGGGTCCTCGTGATCCCTTACGGNACATAAAGTTTTGGTTTCATTTCATGTAACACAATTAAGTTATTAGTTTCTTTTTTCTTGATTATACGCGAACAAAGAAAAATGTTTCTAATTATAATTTCTTGATATCATTGACTATTAAACAAAAATACTACCGAACAAATATAAAGGGGTTATATAGAAGGCGCAAAAGGTACACAGACTTGTCGGGTCCTCGTGATCCCTTACGGGGTACAACGTTCTCGAAGCAACCTCCTTCGCCCGGGATGTGAGTGTCCTGTATTACTGGATATTGAACAGGAGACGGGTCCAAGGTTGAGGGTGCATCTGTGCCCAGGCACCGCGTGTTGACGGTTCTACACGCACTGACGCGAACAAACGTACTGAGCTGTGTTGTTTTCGTCTATTTATACATACACTACTGCCTTCGATGGCAGAATCAGCTTACAATCCACTTAGGGCCATCAGACGATTGCAATGTGTCTTGCCGGTAACAGGCGGTAACAAATGTTCACGATTGACTTCCACGGTGAAGAAATAACATCGTGTAATAAAAATAAAAACCCGCAAAATTTTAATTTGCGTAATTACTGCTGGTAGGACCTCTTGTGCATCCGCGCGGGAAGGTACCACCTATTTACCTATTTCTGCCGTGAAACAGTAATGCGTTTCGGTTTGAAGGGTGGGACACTATAATGAGATCTTAGAACTTATATCTCAAGGTGGTAGGCGCATTTCCGTTGTAGATGTCTATGGGCTCCAGTAACCACTTAACACCAATTGGGCCTTGAGCTCGTCCACCCATCTAAACAATATAAAAAAGGCGTTGATGTGACAAAAAAATCTCAAGTTCCTCAGAGCACTCCAACTGTGTCGATTTGAAGAAAGGCTTTATACTAGATCGATGACTAGAATAGGTTAAAAAACGAACTTACGAAGTCCGAAGATATAAGCTTTATAAGAGCTTCCTTGGGCAGGTTGAGGAAGGCGTTGGTCTTGACACAGTCGGCCGCGTTGTCTCCAATGAAGGCGATGCAGCGCTCCATAAACGAAGATGCACTCTTTCCGCCTATTGCCATAGTCACAATTGTTTTTAAAAAATCGGTTGTCTGTAAAGTCGGTTTACTGACGATAGTTGAACGTGACAACGTCATAAGAAAATACTGATGGAATGGTTTCATTTTTCAAAAGAAAATTTAAATTTTATTTGTTTGATAGATATTTTGTATGGATATAGAGAAGGAGGTAAATGGAAATCACTATTGAATTGATCGTGACGCTTCAAATTCTCTCATGACGTTTTTAATGTTCAAATTAGACTCGAATTGACTACGGCGTTCCATGATCGCGTCTTTGTTGTCGTCAAATAATTAGAGAAATTTGTTGCCAGTTTAGCCACGTGATCGTGGAACGCCTCAGAGCGAGGTAACGCCGCATGTGTCAAGTTTTTTCGTGCGTGCAGCCGGCTCCATCGAATTATAAGACGTTGTCACAAGGTAAATAAATAACTGGAAACCAACCATGCACGGTCATCTGACATCTAATAAGGATTCCCTGTTTAATGGGTACCAGAGATTGACATACATACTTATACACGTTTAAATATATATATCGGAAAAGCCACAATTAGTAACATCATCGTCAGACATCATAGGATCGAGCTAAGAGAAATATTGAGAACACCAATCACGTTTGTTGTCTTAGAACAACTTAGAAATCTCTTGACGTTAGCAAACTAAAACGAATAAGAGTTCTTAGGTCGGAGACACCGCTCTTCAAGAAGGCTGGTTGGTAAGTGTGATGGCGTCTACGCGCCCCGATCGGCTAGACTCTGTCGTAGCACAAAGTTAGCCGATTAGAGTTAGTTGCATGATCTTTGCCTGTTATTATTGTTATAATTAAAAGGTTTATAATTTGTTTCTTAATCACTAACACTCAAGCAATAAGAGGAGTTCTTTTACCAGGTTTAAGCGATCCGAAGGAAGATTTCCTTGTAGTTCAACAATTTTCTTGATTATTGTTGGCAACATTTTTTACAGGGTTGTCTTCATGTCACATTTTATTTGGCTTGGTTATAAATACCGATACGAATTAAAGTAATCTTAGCCTGAGCATACCAGAATACTTCAGAGGCTCAATCCTTTTTTTTTTCTTATTGTTTAGGTGGTTGGACGAACTCACGGCCCACCTGGTGTTACGTGGTTACCGCAGCTCATAGACATCTACAACGTAAATGCCACCATTTACCTTGGGATATAAGTTCTAAGGTCTCAGTATAGTTACAACGGCTGCTCCACCCTTCAAACCGAAACGCATAACTGCTTCACGGTAGAAATAAGTAGAATGGTGGTACCTATCCGGGCGGACTCAAAATAGGTCGTACCAACACTACAAAATCCAGTTCTTGATGCTAGATCCCTATAATACACAATTTGTGTTTTGTGCAGAGTTTGAGCGGTTACTACTCACCGACACTAGATGGCGTTGTTAAAAAAAATAGCATCTTCGGATTCATGTAGGATTCAAGGACCTTTAACTACTTGAAGTCGACATGACCAACAGGGTATGATATACTATGCATTCATATTGAGCGACGAAATTCTTCCAGTGTTAGAATCCCGCATGTAGATTACTATCTTTTATAATGTATGTTTAATACATACTTCCACGATGATGAATAGCATGGTTTAATGAAAATCAAACCAACAAAAAATGCGTAATTATTGGTGGTAGGGAGTCTTGTGAGACCGCACGTGTAGGTACCACCACCATTTCGCCTATTTCTGCCGCGAATAAGTAACGAAGGGCGAAAATCCGTTGCATTATAGAGCTGAGACCTCATGTCTCAAATATATTAAGTGTATAATCTATGACCTCATGTCTCAAAGTGGGAGGCGACTGTTTTTGATATCTATAAGCACCGGTAGCCACTTAACAAAAGATGGGCCGCGAACTCATTCTAAGACAGAAATGTAAAAAGAAAATCGATGAAACGTACAAGGGATGCCCAATAAAGTTTAAATTAAGCTAAACTTTGTTTTAGTTTATTCTAGACACAGCTATTTGCGGCCCTATATTTGTTTTTGCAATTTTTATATTATTTTTGAGTGCTACAACATCACCCATTAATCTGGGTTATTTTGTTATCAAATTATAGTAATTGAACTAAGTGTTCTTGAATATTTCTTGCTTAGCGAGCAGGTCCTGCAACCAACCTGACCAGACTTGCGGGTCGCAAACAGATATCGTACTTTTCAAATAACAACACTTGATTTACAGTAAATATGTGCGGCATTATGAGATCTCCTTACTTCACTGTCTAGAGTAGAGCTATTTTCCTGTCTCCCACGTCAAAGCCCTAGATAGATAGAGTATGTTTTCTTGGACAATTGATTCGTAAAAATAACGTAGTAACGAACCGAAGGTGCAATATGCAGTCTTATCTCATCAAGACAACTCTTAACTATGCTAACATAAAGAAGAACATATTAACTATTGTGGTCGACTTACAATTTGTAATGCAACAAAATACTGTTTGTAAAACGAAATACTGAAATAAATAATAATTTAAGTGAGATTTAATAGAATAATGAGAATTGAGATACTAATTACTACACATACCTATGTGAGAGTATAAATAGCAGCAGAAGTAGCGACATCTACAAGGAGAACTGAATTAGGGATTGGTGGATTTTTTGCAGAAATCGATGTTAACCATATAAATGAACTGTAGTTCTACCATGCTCACTAGAAAATATGGACCTCATAATATAAATCGTTTTTGTAACATGAAAAGTCTCTGACTTGATTTTATGATCTATTGGTATAATTGTTCCGAAGGTGTGGTGGGACTATAAGCCCATCCATCTCTGTGATCCAAGTAGATATTACGACTTCCCTAACAGAGTACCTACTTTCCTTGGACATATTTCCTTCACCTTCACAGAATAAAAACATGCTATCATGTATCTATGTTGCCAAATAGTAGTTGTGCGGTATGAGCGTAAAGGTTTTTTCTTCCTCATCATAATACCTATCGAGCTAGGTCCTATTGTTAGATGTTCCTAGGTAATGTACTACATCACATGAGTGTTCTTACTGGAACTCTATGTATAACAATATCATACGGAGCGATTTCAGTGTATCAGTCATCATATCATTACAATGGGGTTTCCATATGAAGTGTCTGGTGCCCTTTGTCAGAATAATTTATTTTCATTAAACAACGATGAGTCCAATGGAACTTCTCATCTTGCAAACCAGCTCAGGGCTGCTCAGAGGTCTCTCAGCACCAAACCTGGCCACTTAAGTCTACCACTGTGCCTTACAAACCAGTTTTCTGGTATTAGCACAGGGTCAACCACTTGCTGGCTAAATAAATTTATAAGAGCTAAGCCTCCCTTAAAACTGGAGTACATAATATTGAACTTGTCAGAGAAAGTCTTTGCAACAGAACATTCTTGAATAATATTGTATTCGACATTAAAATTATCTAAAGTAACGATGAATCAACTAATCTTTGGACAAGAGACCTAGGTATCTTAAGAAGTGTTATTTTTAGTTTGTGGCTGAATTCTATCTTTCATATTGTAATGACATAAGTCATTAATATAATTTTACTACATATTATAACAGTCCTTTAACTATTTTATGATTAATTTAACAACCATTTTAAGAAATATTAATTCACAAATGAAGATACTTAGGAATTAGGTAAATAAATATAAATATTTTACATTTGACATTTAGGTGAAATATATTAATGGCTTGAACAACTTTGGACAATTTTGGAAATCATAAAACAAAGGTCTAAACTTAATCGATGCGTTAGTCCTTAAAAACACAAGTTGTGAGAAAACCACCATTCTAGTATGATTAAGAACTGTAAATAAAACACTGAAATAAATCTTAAATTTAATTAGAAATTGAGAAAACCAGTAATCCTGTTACAGTTATTTCACTGATACATATGTAATTAGAACTGTTATTTACTAGGAATGACTTCACTTTTAGCAAATTTATAACCTAACTTCACACTGACGCGCTGGGGTTCACGTTCTGTATGAGTGTTATGTTGTCTCCCTTCATCATTATTCTTCCTATTTGTTTTCTGTTTTTCGATTTCATATGGACTTCTTCAGCTTCGTCGAGAACAATATTCATGTATTCATCAAAACCCACGATGTGTCCTTCAATCCTCAGATTCACGTTTTCATATAGCCAAATTTGCACACGACTCCGGTTCTGTAGGTATCGGAAGATAAGGTTGATGGGCTGTACCATCACCTTCTGAACTTTCGGTGGGCCTTTATAAGCCATTTTTTGTTTGTATTGACTTTCGTGAATGAAAAATTATGGTAGAAACAAATAAACGCCGCCAAACCCGGCTTCGCGTCCGTCAGAAACTTCAATATTTAGTCTATGGTCAGAAACGCTACGCGTAGTGATGCGTAGTAACTGACCACTGTGTATTTGTGACGTTTACATTAACGATTCTATTTCGTATTATCGATTTAACAAGCGATTTCTTTTTTATGTCAAACGTAGCTGCACGTAAAACCGATTGCTGCCANGTTTTCATATAGCCAAATTTGCACACGACTCCGGTTCTGTAGGTATCGGAAGATAAGGTTGATGGGCTGTACCATCACCTTCTGAACTTTCGGTGGGCCTTTATAAGCCATTTTTTGTTTGTATTGACTTTCGTGAATGAAAAATTATGGTAGAAACAAATAAACGCCGCCAAACCCGGCTTCGCGTCCGTCAGAAACTTCAATATTTTGTCTATGGTCAGAAACGCTACGCGTAGTGATGCGTAGTAACTGACCACTGTGTATTTGTGACGTTTACAATAACGATTCTATTTCGTATTATCGATTTAACAAACGATTTCTTTTTTATGTCAAACGTAGCTGCACGTAAAACCGATTGCTGCGATGGTGACGCGTCGCTGCACTATAGTGAATACTGTCAGTATTTAAAAACAGCCTTTATTTTATATTCGGGAGTGTGTGCAGCGTGGCTACACGCCGCGGCGCCGCCATGCGCAAACGACTTAATACTAATATTTAAATTATCATTATGCCACATGAATTTCTTGCCGTAAACTATCCTTTTAAGCATCTACACCTGTACAATAATATCAATGTTTCACATGTGCCTACCTTCCCGCGATGGCTCATTTTATTGTTTCCTCACTAATCAGATAAATTTTGTTTAATATAAAAAAAATACACTAAAATGAATTATGAGGTTTTAAACTCACTTTACTAAGACTCAATGACTTTCACATCCACAAATTCAAATTAGTCGATTTTAGAGCCTAAAAATATAAACTGACTATTATTTGGGAATAGGGCTTCACTATGTAAATAAAAATTGAAATCCATAGATAAAAAATTTTTGCTAAACATGGCGTAGGTGTAGGATATACCTACTCCAAATCATTTTTGTTGTATGACGGTGTAAATAGTTGTTTTTAAGTTACTTTGTAGTTTATTGTGAGTTGTTCAACATAAGAGAACTAAAATTTTAAATAAAGAACAAAAAGTGTGCGATGGCCGGGAATCGAACCCGGATCAACTGCTTGGAAGGCAACTATGCTGACCATTACACCACCATCGCAACTGGGTACTAGTCTGAAATTAAGTAATTTATAAATTATTTACCTGGTCTATCATGTATTTCCATTGCAACAGCCAACAGAGTACAAGCACTATCTACGCTTAATGTTGAAGTGACGTGGTCTTCGCAAGCCGACCGCAAATCTTCTACCCCAAGATCTGCTGCTAGCGTCATCATTTCAAACACTCCTGAATCTTGTAAAAGCAGCTAAAATAGTTTTTAAAACATTTTACGACGTTTAAATCATTACAAGAAATACTTTAATGATTAAACAATAACTAAATGATAGTAATATTATTTCACAGAATATTTTCGGTGTACAATAAAATTTTTTGGACTTTACTTTCATGTAACCACTTCACCTACATACTTTTTGATTATCACTTTTTATTTATTAAGTTAACATGTTTTCAAATTAGCGCTGAATTTTAGTACATCGAAGCTATTTGTGGAGGAGGAAGGAAGTTCAAGTTTTTGTATAGGCACATTAATATTAATTTAAAAAACCGTCAACAGAGGGTGCTGTTGTAAATTTTTTCAAATCCTTTTTCTTCAATTGTATATAATAATGACGAACTTAAGGTAACAACATTAAATACTCACCTTTCCAGTGTAAACGTATTGAATGAAGAGCCTGAAGGTCTCGGGTTGGATGTGCGGCATCCGTATAGGTATTGGCTGTCCGCCAACAGATGGCGTAACCGTACAACCAGGGATCCGACATATTTCACCACGTTTTGTGTTCTGGAAACTTTTGCATCTAAAAAAGAACAAGTTTTTTTCAAATAAGATATTTGAAAAAAATATAGCATATCAGAAGTTAACTGAACTATTTATAATTATTTTAAATGCAATGGCAATGTCAATCGACCAATTTAACACGAGTGAGTTCACGATGGATCACGGTAGGTTAGCAGTGGTCAGTAACACGCGACTAGGCTACGGCTCTTCCGCGATATGTTTAGTTCAGGCAGGGAATGTTACTTATTATCTCGTCTTTAGACTATAGTATAGTATTATAGTAAGCTTTTTATTTCCTACCTAAGCTGATATTCTTGAGAGGCTATATCAGCGTAACCTTAACTAGTAGGTGAGCTCACGGGACTCAAACCTGACGACGTTGCTAACACGGACCCTAGCAAGAGCCGTGCTTCGCAGAATCTACCACCGGATCGGAAACGCGACCCACTGAGAAGTGGGAAATTCAGTGGGCTGCGTCTGAGGGTTAATTTACTCGTCGAGCCCTTCGTCGCAAGTGACGGGTTCGACGAGAACGATGACCGGTGCTTGAGGTACCTAAAAGCACCGTTAGTGGATCGGGACGATGTCGTTGACGATGGATCAGGAAATGACGTGTTTGGGGCGACGTCGACTGCTTTCCATTCTTTCCGCAGGATCCGGAATGTAGTTACCGGCGGCCACGATGAGAGGGTTCTCGTGTCGTGCCGCTTTATCGAAGTGGTAGTAAGCATTTTTTAAGCACAAAGCATTATAAACATATGCTAAATATTTTTTTGGCTCTTTTGGTTGACTAAGCTTCCCACCACTGCAGTAGACATTATTCAGCATAATGTAACACATAATGTCATAATAACAATGCACATTAAATTTTACAAGTTGAAATTGTCGAATAGAAAAAAAAGAGGTTCTAAACTCAAGAAAAGTGTCATTAATCAGTTTCAGAGCAAATCCTCAAAAGTATTCAAGCTTATTATAACAAAATTTCAGGAAGTCTTTTCATAAAAATCTTCTGTAACTTTTGCGATGTTTCTTCACCGAGCCCTAATTAAAAATCGATAATTCTCAGATATTGTAAGAACTATCTAGACAGAAGCTTTGTTGAAAAACTTTTATCTCTACAGGGTGCATACAGCGTAGACAATGAGAGAATAAGCTAACAGAGTGCAGGGTCTCGTTACGTTACTTGGTTACGCGGCCGGTATCTATCACATTGTCGTCGTGGCCTAAAGGATAAGACGTCCGGTGCATTCGTGTTGAGCGATGCACCGGTGTTCGAATCCCAGGTACCAATTTTTCTAATGAGATACGTACTCAACAAATGTTCACGGTTAACTTCCACGGTGAAGGAATACATCGTGTAATAAAAATCAAGCCCGCAGATTTTAATTTGCATAATTACTGGTGGTAGGACCTCTTGTGAGCCCGCGCGGGTAGGTACCACAACCCTGTCCATTTCTATCGTGAAGCAGTAGTGCGTTTCGGTTTGAAGGGTGGGGCAGCCGTTGTAACTATACTTGAGACCTTAGAAAATATCTCAAGGTGGGTGGCGCATTTACGTTGTTAATGTCTATGGGCTACTTAACCACTTAACACCAGGTGGGCTGTGAGCTCATCCATATCATCAGGTTAGATCCTGTCTATTAATCCTTCTAATTAATTCTCTAAATCTAAATTAATCCATCTATTAATCCTAATTCTATCCTCTCTGTTAATTTATGAACTCCTGTGCAAAATGCTTTGTACTGATTTTTCCATTCAACTCGTAGCTAAGCTTCATTAATAATGGAAAAGTTTGCGAAATATTGAAACAAACACTAACTAAATTGTATTTTATCATGGGTCTTTTTATATGGCTTAGATATTCGTGCGCCAGTGGATGTATTCAATAGAGTGGTGAGGAATTTTATTTGTATTTTGAGTAGATTGAATAATATAATAACAAATTATAATAAAATAATAATAATAAGAAACTAGTGGTAGGACGTCTAGAGAGACGTTCAGAATTGAGAAGTCGAATTGATACTAAAATGGTATATTTTAATTCCACGCAAGAAAAACAATGAAGTAATCCGTTAGGCACGCTTCAAATGTGTTTTTTTATTTATTGCTTAGATGAGTGAACGAGCTCACAGCTCACTTGATGTTAAGTGGTTACTGGAGCCCATAGACATCTACAACGTAAATGCGCCACCCACCTTGAAAAAAAATTCTAAGGTCTCAGTATAGCTACAACGGCTGCCCCACCCTTCAAACCGAAACGCATTACTGCTTCACGGCAGATATAGGCAGGGTGGTTGTACCTACCCGCGCGGACTCACAAGAGGTTTTACCACCTAAATGCGTAGTTAATTGATTCATGGACAATTAGAAGCGGCGCTCTGAAGCAATTAAGGCGGCCTGACCGCTATTGATCACTCGGCTCGGGGAAAAGCCACGAACCGATCAGTATTTGACGGTACGATTCTTTGCTTGTGGGCGTTAATCGTATCTTTCAATCGACTTTAAAAATAGGAGGAGGCTCTAATTCGACTGTATTTTTTTTGTGTTTGTTATTTCAGACCTTTTTTGTAGGTTGTTTGTAGGTAGAACCGATATTCATGATTCACCACATGAGAAGCACCAGTTTAAAATTAAAGAAAGAATTAGAAACTGGTGCTTCTCGTGTGGTCAATTTTATCAAAATTAGCGTACTGGTTGGTGGTTTATGAGTTTTCCTCAATACTGCATATTGCAATTGTCTTCTACTAACTATATTTTTATATTTACGATATTTTCATGTAGTTTTTTCGAAGTAGATTTTCTTTCCTTTTATTGTTTATATACCTATGTCATTCTTTTGAAATTTTCATAATGTTTCGCAGCATTTATGTTACAAAGTAGGCTTTTGTTACACACTGTATAATCGGATGCTGCAGAAGATCGAATCGTCCTCACAATTATTTCCTTTCAGTCAATTTCAGGGTAAATCCTGTGTAAGATTCTCGGCGGTGTTAATTCAGCGGTCCTTTGTAATTAATTCCGCGGGTAGGAGGTAAGATCTGATCCGACGGGAGCAGCCGGATCTAGCTGGCCGACCATTTATCTTGTCGTGAACATAGACTAACTCCGCAGAGGGTGAATTATCTGTTTGTTTACTGTATTGTTAATTTTGTTTACGAATCGAATAAATTTTTTCGCTCTTAGATCTCGAAGTAAATATGTCACAGCATTTGGTTAATATAGGATAGACACTTATATAGTTTGGTTCGCGAATGAATTTCATAATGAAGGTACATAGTACTGTGCTATAAAAATCAACACTAAGCTACATAATGACGCCTAGAATATAGATGGAAGACCATAATCAAAGAGAAATTACTCTTTTATCAGGGGCATTACGATCTTCAGTGATAAGGTAGACGACGCGAGGAGGAGGATAAAAATCAAACATCATCTCTGAATGCGGATGCGGTATTCACCTTGTGATTATGATATAGGTTTCGTAATCGCTCACCCATCTTTTGCTGTAAAAAGATATCACTATTTTGCTCTGAATCCTTAGTAGGGTATGACTAGCCCTTGCATTAGACGCCTTTAGCTCTAACATTAGGAGTAGGGACCCCGGTAACCGTACTCGTCGAACTCGGCAAAAAGTTCGACGTGCAACCTAACCTAAATATCAGCCCGCTGAGTTTCTCGGCGGATCCTTTCAGTGGGTCGCGATTTCGATCCGGTAGTAGATTCATTCGCAAAGCAGCCGCCCTGAGTTATTAGGTCTACATTGGAGGCGCTCGGGCAGCTGTTAGCAAATCTCACCACTCCTGGCTGAACCTCTGCTCGGCCATCTGTCCTGATGAAACTGGAGAGGCCTCCGGGCTACCAATAATCCATCATTAAATAAAAAAGGGTATAGAGAACTTAACAATACCATTAGAAATATGAGTTCAGTTCCTGATATTCTAGCGCTGCTGATAGACGAGAGGTAGAGCGTAGATCAAAATTTGTCGATTCCCTTTCTTGTTTTTGAGCGTGATACTTTTTTTTAAATATAATTTTAAATTACATTTGGGGCGCACAGCGACTTCTTCCAAAAGAAAAGCTTTGGAATGAAAGATATTTAAAAAGAAATTCAGTGCAAAAATATTAGGTTTGGTTTTGTTTTTTAATATGAATACTTCTATATTGAATGCGGGGGTACTTTAATACTCTACGCCAGCCTTTCCCAAAGTGGGCGATAGCGCCCGCGCTGCATGCCTAAAGGGAAACGGTAAGAGACCAAGAAAAATAATGGGGGCGTTGTGTAGAGGCTTGGGAGGTGATTTGTAATTTCATCTAGGTGTATTCTTAGACACCAACTGCTGTCTCGCTAAGTCTCTCACTGGTTTTTAAGTAGGTGAAAAAATGGGGGTGCTAAAAAATAATTTATTCTCAAAGTGTGCAGTAGACAAAATAAGTTTGGGAGCCCCTGCTCTACGCTGTTCGCATGTCGCCCACAGATGGATACTACTAATAGAGTGGTCGCGTAGATTGTCACTTACATTTTTGTTGATATTCTATTAATAAAATGATGTTACTACTTACATAAGGTAGGTACTGCATAAGCATTAATGGAGCCAGTTTAAGACATCACATTGGGTCTGCGATTGATATAACAACTAGTCTTTCAATTGGTACACATTGATATTACGTAGCAAAAATGAGTGTAAGTCAGGGTTGCTGCCACTACTATGAACGATGGAGGGTATTATTTATACATATTCCTGCCTTACTGGTTTGAGGGTCAAACAATTGAGATATCGACTAAAAGCTTCAAGTGTTACGCGATAAAGTCCCTTCTCGTAGAGCCCGTCACCTGCGATGAAGGTTCCGCGGGTAAACTGACCCACAGACAGAGCTCACTGAGTTTCTCGCCGCATCTTCTCAGTGGGTCGTGTTTCCGATCCGGTGGTAGATTCTGTGAAGCACTGCTCTTGCTAGGGCCAGTGTTAGCAACACCTTCGGTTTGAGCCCTGT